AAGTGCATTCTTCCCATGCTCGTAACCTTGGTAACTAAGATAATTGCAAATCTTAGAATTTGATTGAATCTTCGGTATCCATGGTAACAAAAACGAATATAATTTTATGCTGGAAAGATTAACGAATATATTGAAATCAAGTTGTTGCTGTTTTTTTTTCTTCTTTTGTACGAAAGGGGGGTAAATCCAATTGGATGCAGAAAAACTGCATGCGATAAGAAGAGATGTTACTGATGATGAAGTTTGGGACTTCCTCCTGCCATTCTTATTAAAGTATTCTTAACAATTCATCAAAGAGTTAAACTTCAATAATAAATAATTGATTTATTATTGAAGTTTAACTCTTTGATGAATGTGTAAGAGTGCGTTAATAAGAATGGCAAGAGGAAGTCGTTTGTAATTTGAAGAGTGAAAACAGAGCGGAGAGTTATTGTGTAGCGAAAATTTGTAAGGTAACGAATGGTGAAAGGAAGGGTTGCGGCCCTCTCGAGAAACCCATTAATTTTTCTTATGGAATCACGGTGGATGGATCAAAAAAAAAAGGTCGAAGTCAAACCACGAAACGGACTGGACGGGACAGGGCCCGAAATAGAAAAAGGGTTTGCATGAAAAAGCACTTTCTTTATCATTAGAATGAGAACTGGATGGTCGTTAGAATTGGGTCGAACGGATTCCCAAACGGGCCGTTAAAGCAAAACGCAAACAACCAAGAAGGAATAAAAAAAGAAGTAGTAGTGGTGAAGACCCTTAGAGGGGGGTTTCGTGTTCCTACAACGACGACGACCTTTTTCCCCTCTGGGAAAAGTCACGACGATGCGGCCCGTTCCGTCCTGCCTGTCCTCGGACCCTTCATGAAAAAAAATAATAATAAAAGGAAACTTTCGGGTCGGCGTGCGAAGAATTGTATCGCTCCGATTACCTGCCAATCAATCCGCAGCACCCCGAAATTGATCCATCACCTTTACACTTCTTGCGCGGGAGAATCTATTCATTCGTAAATCAGAATGGAAATCTACAGAATCCAAGTAGACTAACTGGTAACTTTTTTTTTACTTCGTTACTTAAGATACAGATAAATAAATGTGTGGGCATCCAAAACGTAATAAAATAAAACTTCCCCACATTAATGGAAATTATGCTAATCGTATCGCGTTCCCACACATACACACAGACACCAGAGGGTAACAGGCGCTTAATAAGCACTGCAAACTTACAATTAAAAATTTCCCAACGAAGCGAACAATGCCCTAATTTAACAAATTCATTAAAAATTTATAAAATATGTAACAAAATACTTCATTAATTAATTAATTTTACGTTTAAGTCAATTTGAATTACTTATTTTTGAATTATAGTCATATCAAATCATAGCAAATTTTGATGCCATATGCAACGTAACATTGACTTAAGTCAACTTTTCTTATTTGATGTATTGGATCTATAAGAAAAAGACAAACAATAGTATTTTGTTTACTGTTGCCAATGGTAACTTAATATTACTTAAGTCAGTTTGAGTTTTAAGTATTGATCGAACCAATCGTTTTCGTCGGTCACTCAACAAGACATGACTTGACTTAAATGGTTAAGGATGATGATGATGAAGACAGGTCCGCAGACGTTGTTCGTCCTTGAAAACAAATTCTCAAGTGCAACACATTGATGAACCACATTCCCACCAACTACATCCATCCATACATTTCGTTTTGCGCTTATTTTCATCCGAAAGTTGACCCCTGTCTCCCTGTCTATTTTTTTTCTAAATTTCGAATCAATTAACGTTTCTTTCAATTTCCTTTCTATCCTAGTACTGTGCGAAAAGAACACAAACACAGAAAAAAAATAGATACATTCGAAAAGGGTCGTCCCATTCTTCATTATTCCATCTATTTTTTTACGGTTCTCTCCCCATTCGTAGACGTTCTTATTCGAATCCGAACAATGCGGTTTTCCGTTTTAATGTAAATCCGATTCGCATTCTCCCGGAATCTGGTAATTTATGTGTGCGCGCGAGAGTAAAAAGACGACCCTTGTTATTCTTTAAATATATATAGAAAAAAGGGACTCATGTCACCTCAAAATCCTATTGTAAACGCGGGGATGAAAGAAAAAGAAAGATTTATATGAATATATGATAGAAAGAGAGAAATATGGGAATTCTTATCGTTGGGTAAACAACGCATGCAGAGCATTCTTATCGGGAACCAGCTGGATTTGTCTGATCAGATGTTCTTTGGATTAACAAAAAGGAGCGCACATGCCCTTCGTCAGCGCGCAAAAATAGACTGTCTTCTTACCTTTTTCTTGTTCTTCGCAAAAAGTTTAAATTTCAAATACTTCTCGACGCGTTGATTTCTCGTCTTCTTCCGCTGCGTCTTATCCTTTATGGGGATTGGTTTCCTCGTTTTTGCACACTTCACTGTTCCTTGCACACTGCTTCCATAGCACACATCGAGTTCATCAAAATCCACACGTCCGGTTAGCGCGCGCTCTACGTCCTTTATGATTCTTCTTGATCGTCCTTTTGGTTTGGTATAGGAAAGGTCCTGTATACGGACGAAGTGAGCGAGCGAGAATGTTCGAAGTTATCGCGGACGGATCCGGCAAGTGTCTGGCGCGCAGTTAGTTGTTACCTGAGTTCTTACCTGGATGGTCTCGATGTCTACCCCCCCTGCGCGCAAACACACCTCCCTCGAACCAACCAACCCTCGTCCCATCTCTTTCCATCGCTCTTTTATCCGCACTCTCCTCCTCTCGCTCCTACTCATCGCAACTTCGACCCCACTGACCCATGTGCGTAGTCCACATGGTTTTGATGTGCGCTGGCTACCAAGCAAATATACAATATCAACCCCACCAAAAAAAAAATCGAGGATTTACTACTACAACCAACATTATTTATCACTCAAAACACTATCAATTTACAACCATTACACGAGTCTATACTTACAAAATTTATACTCATATTTCAAGTACAAATTGAAACAATTTTCTTCACTGCAAAACTCGATCACAATAGTCACAGTTACAATTCGCTTGTTTTATTTGCAATCACTTAACGTCTCTGGGTTGCATCCAAACAGATTCTCTAAAAATCCCTCTAAAAAAATTATTCAAAATTCGATCTACATAATCTAAGTTTTCTTATAATTAGAGCAAATCTACTTGACGTTGACGTTTCTCGACTCGATCTCCATAGTTACATAAACAAATCATTTATTTTATTGGCAACGTTTTAAGTTACATCCAATTTCAGTACTAAACCCAAAAACAGACAAAAAAATTACAAATTCAAGCTAGATTATATAAGTCTCTAAGCAATTAAACTTACCATTTCATTTGTAACGCAACTGACACGTTGATGTTTCTCGACTTTCAAACAATCCCCTTTTGTTTTTCGTATATCACTTACTAATCACGAAAGACCCGATTACTTTGGATCAATTTTAGTGTAATTAGCAAATAACATAATTCACTAATTCGATATTTAAAACACTAATTCGATCTACATAATCTAAGTTTTCATGTAATTAGAGCAAATCCACTTACCGTCTACGACACTCAACCCGTTGACGTTTCTCAACTCGATCTCCATAGTTACATAAACAAATCATTTAGTTTATTGGCAACGTTTTAAGTTACATCCAATTTCAGTACTAAACCCAAAAAACAGACAAAAAAGCACACAAATTCAAGCTAGATTATATAAATCTCCAAGAAATTAAACTTACCATTTCATTTGTAATTCAACTAACACGTTGACGTTTCTCGACTTTTAAACAATTTCCTTTTGTTTTTCGTATGTCACTTGCGAATCACTGATAACCCGATTACTTTTCATCAATTTTAATGTAATTAGCAAATAACATAATGCACTAATTCGATATTCAAAACACTAATTCGATCTACATAATCATGTAATTAGAGCAAATCCACTTACCGTCTACGACACTCAACCCGTTGACGTTTCTTGACACGATCTCCATAGTTACATAAACAAATCATCTATTTTATTGGCAACGCTTTAAGTTACATCCAATTTCAGTACTAAACCCAAAAAACAGACAAAAAAGCACACAAATTCAAGCTACATTATATAAGTCTCCAAGCAATTAAACTTACCATTTCATTTGTAACGCGATAAGCAACTGACACGTTGACGTTTCGCAACTTTCAAACAATTCCCTTTTGTTTTTCGTATGTCACTTGCGAATCACTGATGACCCGATTACTTTGCATCAATTTTAATGTAATTAGCAAATAACATAATGCACTAATTCGATATTTAAAACACTAATTCGATCTACATAATCTAAGTTTTCATGTAATTAGAGCAAATCCACTTACCGTCTACGACACTCAACCCGTTGACGTTTCTCAACTCGATCTCCATAGTTACATAAACAAATCATCTATTTTATTGGCAACGCTTTAAGTTACATCCAATTTCAGTACTAAACCCAAAAAACAGACAAAAAAGCACACAAATTCAAGCTACATTATATAAGTCTCCAAGCAATTAAACTTACCATTTCATTTGTAACAACTAACACGTTGACGTTTCTCGACTTTCAAACAATTCCCTTTTGTTTTTCGTATGTCACTTCGAATCACGGATGCCCGATTACTTTGCATCAATT